CTTAACTGAAAGCAGGGAATACCAAAGGAATGTATATCTGTGTTTCATTGACTATACAAAGGCATTTGACTGTGTGGACCATAACAAACTGTTGCTGACTCTGAGAAGAATGGGAATACCAGAACACTTGATCGTGCTAATGAGAAACCTATACTTGGACCAAGAGGCAGTCGTCAGAACAGAGCAAGGAAACACTGCATAGTTCAAAATAGGGAAGGGCATACGCCAGGGATGTGTCCTGTCTCCATACCTTTTCAACCTGTCTGCAGAACAGATTATCCGGGAGGTTGGGCTCTACGAGGAGAAATGTGGGGTCAAGATTGGTGGAAGATCTATCAACAATCTGCAATATGCAGATGACACAACCCTGCCTGCTGAAACTGAAGAGGACCTGAAGCACCTGCTGCAGAGGGTCAAGGACTGTAGCCTCCAATATGGATTGAGACTCAATGTCAAGAAGACAAAGATTCTCATCACTGGGCCAATTGGCAGCATCAGCATGGATGGTGAAGAGATTGAGATTGTTCACAGCTTCAGTTTGCTTGGCTCCAGAGTCAACACTCTTGGCACCAGTAGCCGGGAAATTAAAAGGTGTACTGCCATGGGAAAGTTTGCTGTTAGGGACCTCTCCAAAGTACTGAAGAGCAATGGTATCTCTTTGGAGACTAAGGTGCATGTGATACAGGCCATGGTCTTTGCTATCACATGTTATGCAATCCAATAATAAGTAGTAGTAAATTCACAATTAATACTAGGGTAATTTAATATGGCAATATATATTATATAGATATATATAGTCATATATTATAGATTATTATAATTATATAAATTTAATATATGATGTGCAGATATCTTTATATTAACAGATTAGTATTATTAATAATTATTAATAGTATTCCATTATTCATATAATTATTTCTCTACTCTAATTTTGATTGACTTTTGGACTAGAATATTGATTTTTTAAAAAGCTTTAATTACTTTCGACATCCACACATGGCTATTATTAACCGTTTGAGCACAGCTTTAGAATAATATGGGATGAAGGGAACTCTTGTTAATAGTGACTTCTTTTAATAAAAGAAAAGTCTTTTATTTATCTGCAGTTGCTGTTAAGTTTAGCTGCTGCTTATAGTCAGCCTAACTCATGGCAACTGCATGCACAATGAAATGAAATACTGACTGTTCTTGCATCATCCCTATGATTAGCGGCAGACTAAACAACTGTGATCTATAGGGCTCTTCCTGACTGGTTTTCTTCTTCTTTATGATCAGTCCTGTTGTTTGTTGTTATGTGCTGTCAAGTCGTTTGCGACTCATAGCGACCCTATGTACAACAGCCCTAAACCCTGCTCTATCCTGTGCCAATCGCATTGCCTCTGACACACCCATCCTGATTACCTGTTGCTGTTGTTATGTGCCATCGAGTCGCTTGCGACACACAGCGACCCTATGTACAACAGCCCTAAACTCCGCTCTGTCCTGTGCCAACTGCACTGTCTCTGACACTCCCATCCCGATTATCCCAGTCACTGAATCAACCTAGCACAGATTTATTCATTTTATCACTGTTATGTAAAGAGCCAATGATGGCTCTGTTGCTCATCTCTCATGTGTGTTATTTCTGCTTTCATCTTGTTCTATTAAGTACACAGAGAGGCATATTCAATTATCCTGGTATTAATTGTGCCTTTACTACTACTCATTATTGGGTTATGCAAACTTTTTAACTAATCATAAATTGAACTTGAATTTTGAATTGTGATGTGAGTAGAAGTTTATGAAGCAAAATGGTTTACATTTAACCACTCATATCCATTTTGATAGCATTAAAAATAATCTCCAAAAAGTAAAGCAGTACCTCCCAGTAATTCTCACTTCCATTAATCCTACTGTAGCTCACCCTGCTTTCAAGGCTCTAAACTTAAGACAGACGATGCTCTTTGGACTGGACCTTAAACAACTGGCTCAAGGCAGTGCTCCACAGTGTTAAAGGTTATCATAAGACCTGCCTAGAATTTGGCTGAAAAGTAAGCCTAGGAGGAAAATCTTGTTCCAAGATCAAATGACTAAGGGACATAATACGAGGAGTTCCACTTTCTATACTGGACCAGTTAAGATTGGTTCTTCCCCCTCCCCCCTTTTTTTTGAGCTTTGCTCTACGTTGTTTTTTTTTCCCCATCTTGATCCAGGATCTTATATTGAGACCCCTTTGTAGGTGATGAACAATGAAGGTGGGCATCATGTAGTATAGTTCCTCAGGTCTCAAGATGATAAAGTTGAGGTTTTTTTAGCACATTATCAATTCTCTGAATTAATTTCTATATATAATATGTAACATTATACTAAATATTACATATTTTATGTATACTATATCGTTACTTTTCTTCTCTAGTTTGTTGCAGACAGGGGGAAAAGCAATAGCTATACCTTAAATGGCTACTCACAAGCTTTAAGGATTCTAGTCAGACTTACCCAATCAGGAAAAAGAACATTATCTTTGGAGACTATGTTAGACCAAATGACCTTAATATTCAGCAGGACATTGTTATATACTAGTAAAACTTCACTTCACTTCACTTTAAGGAATCAGTCCTTGGAGAAAGACATGCTGAGAAAGACAAAAGGTCAATGAAAGAAAGGAATACCTCCAATTAGAAAAAATAACACAATGACTACCACAACAATCTTGAGGATGCCAAAAGATCATGAGAACCTACAGGATAGGGCAAGGTTCAGATCTGCTATGAGCTGTAGTCTTCACCAACACAATTCTAGAA